GAAGGGGTCGGTTGGCAGTTGATTGTTGGGATTGGTATGCTGCGAGGGCGACAGCGATGCGCTGGTCGATGTCTGCTTGAGTGAACGTTGCCATAGGGACTTCAACCGGTGCGTTGGTTGGTGCAGGTGGAGCTGGTGGTAGTTCTGGAGCCTCGATGGGAACGTACTGAACGTCCGGGAGCTCGAACGGTTGTTCGTTAACAGGTGACTGTAGGTTCTCTGTTGTTTGTGCTGGTTCAACGTTGATTCGTAGAATGGCGAATACGTCTTCTGGGTGAGCGGGAGGGTGTCTCTGGTAATAGCTGACAAGCTGTTGATGGGCGACGATCTGCGGGTTGGAACCTTCTGCGCGAACCCAGGAGCCGCCTCGAGGATAGATGGGAGTCCTTCTTGTGGTGGTGACGAAGCAACGGTCTGCTCGGTCGTACTGGAGAAGGGGAGATCCTGCGAGGGCTGGTAGTCCCAAGGGAACCGGGTTTACTGCGTTGTTCGACGTGATGGTGGATGAGTTGTTCGACTAGGTGAAACTAGGAACGTAGCTTAGAAAGTTCGACCTTTTGATACAACGGTCTACACTCCTATATTGATGCCTGACTCGTAGACGACGAGCGAGGACTTATGGACAGTGCGTCGTCCTGAAGATCGAGCGAGGGAGTCGAGAATGACCACTACCCCAAGCGAAGAGGAGCAGAGACTTGGATGAATAACCAGGTCGAACTTAGGGTTCGACCGATTAATGGTACAACTACTTATACAAGTACCGACTGCGCACGGACCATCGTGTCTATGTGGTCGTGTTAGTGAAGAAAGAAACGTAGTGGTACGATACCAGGCACGAAGTGCGCACGGACCCCATTATGTAAGCTACATAATGTTCAACCTGCGGGTGAGCGCTAAGACAGGCGCCAGTATGGGCGCTAGTAGTACAAGGAATAGAACGGAAAGACAAATGTTTCACTCGAAGACCGCTGGCAAGACTAACCACCATGCTCTCATCTACATCAACCAGGCCGTTCGCGTTGACCTCACATGGGCTGCACGACACATTGCGACCTCGACAGGCATTCATTTTTTCGGGCAAGAAGAGTGGACGGCTGCCGACCTTCGTTTCTCACAGCTAAATGAGGAGATTGCATATGTTGACGCCTCTGGCGTCGGCTTGGGTCTCTTCTTTCCTTGGCTCAATCTGGGGTACTACTGCGAACGCTCGGGTAGTGCCCCCCTGGAGACAATTTTCTTCTTTGAAGGGCTTGCCACTTGCGCTGCGATACACACTGCTGCGACCCATTTACGGCAGTGTGGGGCTGCCGGTCCCAAGCGTGTGGCCGTTTTTACTGACAACTCCAACACAGTCGGAATTTTCAACTCACTGCGGGCAACACCAGGTTATAATACCTTGCTGAAGTCTGCTGTCGATGTCCGCCTCCATTTTGACATCGACGTCCGCGTTCACCACATTTCCGGCTCCGACAATCGTGTTGCTGATGCCATCTCTCGCCGTCAGTTCACTGCCGCCCTTGCTCTCATGCCTGGGCTCCGAATTCTTCCGTTTACACCCCCTCGGGATGCGTTGGGGGCGCCCACGTTATGACCCTTGATCTGCATCGTCCGCGACAACCCTCGCCGTTGCCGTGGACCATGGAGCGCCTCATACACGAGCACTCCATTGCTTTGGGACACGCCCTCGACATTTCCACACGGCACACCTACTCTTCAGCCCTAAATTCTTACATCACATTTTGTCGCGCGCACTTCTTGCCTCTTGACCCCACAAAAGACACCCTGAGTTTATATACTGTTTACATGTGCGCACACATCAAGCCCTCCTCGGTGGACAATTACTTGTCAGGTATCTGCAGCGAACTCGAAACCTTTTTCCCCCTGGTGCGCGGCGCGCGGAAGTCTCGTCTGGTCACCCGCACCCTTCGCGGCTGCAAGCGACTGCAGGGTGCTGCGATCGCCCGTAAACGCGCCCTGACGTGCGAGGACGTACACTCCGTGTGCAGTGCCCTCTCCCCGTCCCCATGCTATGACGACAGCCTCTTTCTTGCGCAACTCCTCACTGGTTTCCACGCGCTCATGCGCCTCGGGGAGCTCGTTTGGCCTGACTCCGTGCGTCTCCGCAGACATCATAAACTCACGCTGCGCACCACTGTGGTATGCGCTGGTGAGCTGCAGTACAGCTTCTTGCTTCCCGCACACAAAGCCGATCCATTCTTTGACGGCAGTCGCATCCTGGTCACACGCGACCTGGCACTGCCGGGGACCGTGGCGGCTTTCACTCGATATCTCGCTCTGCGCGATGCCCGCTTCGCGCTCCGCGCTGAGTTGTGGATCTGCCACGACGGCAGCCTCCCGACCCGGTCCTGGTTCCTGCGCCGCCTGCAGACTTTTTTTCCCGACAACGTCGCGGGGCACAGCCTGCGCTCCGGCGGTGCCACTGCCCTAGCCGAGTGCGGCACTCCACCTGACCTCATTCAGGCGGCCGGTCGCTGGTCCTCCAATGCTTTTCGGGCCTACATCCGGCGCCACCCCGTTCTCCTCGCGGTACTGCTCTTCGCGCGCGGCCCCGCTGCTGCGCCCTAGATCTCTCTGGCAGCAGTACCGCATGCTCTTGCTCCGTCTCTTGCGAGATGTCACGTAGACTATCCAGAAGTAAATCATTCAGTAGGAGGCTAAGCGGCGGAACTCTATAACACGCATACCGAATGAGTGCCTCCTTCAGCCGTTCGTTCTGTTTCTCAAGTTGGATGTAAGCCAACGACTGCTTTACCGGAGTTTCAGTGACTTCTTCGGCCCTCTCTGCGTGAGAACATTAGTCCTGTGCCACATCATGTACATGGTATACTTACCTCCTCCTTCCTTGAGCACTTGTAGCTCAACTTCAACGATGGCCAAATTCTCCTTGACTTCTTCCAACTCCGCTTCCGCCATTTCCGCGCGTTCTTCGGCCATTTCTTTGTCTAACATGGCCATCTCAAGCTGTTCCTGCGCATCGACAATACGGCTTTCGGCCATCTGAGCAAGCTGCTGCGCGTCAGCTAGCTCACGTCGGGTAGTGATCAGCTCTGTCTGCTGTGAGCTTAGCTTCGCCTGGAGCTTCGGACGCAGCGCAACAAATGATTCCGCTTCGGAAAGACGCGTCTCAAGCTCTCGGACATGACGAGCATCATCCGCACGCTTTGCTTCAAGTACACGTATTTTGGCACGGAGCTCCTGTACCTCCTGGTCGTCTTGTGCGCGCTGAGATGTCGTCAGAGACAGTACTCGGTGGAATCGGGCAACCTACCACGGGTGTACTTGGTCGTGAAGGCTCCTGCGGAACAATTGGAGACGAAGGCTCGGGTTCAAGTTCAGGCTCCGGATCCCGCAATGGTTCTGAAACCCGTCGCAGTGTAGATGGCTGGGTGGTTTGATGAGCTACAATTAAGACAGTCTCGCGTAACAGGTTAACGGGGACTGACGGCAAGTACAGGCTGGGGCTCCAGTGAGATTGTCTTCACCTGACTGGGCCGCACAAACACACCGTAGTTCGGCTTGCAAGTGAAGTATTTGATGCCTTGCACTGTTCCGTCGTTCTTCCCGTTGGCTTCCAAAAGCTCAATACCAACCCATCTTCCAGCAGAGAACGAGGTGCCACCGCAGAAGCGAACCAAACCTCGACCAGCTGGGACTTCAACAAGTGCACCAAGGGGTGGTTCTGCTGGTGCCATAGTTACACCGTGTCGGTTTAACAGCTAAGTCCATACAACGAGGACTTAAAGGGCCACGCCCTCAAGTCAAGGGCACGCAGGTAGTGCCCGGTGGGATGAATGCACAAGAATCACTCCTTCAAGACGTGTCCTTGAATGAGAGGCCTCAGAGTCTCAACGCAGGTTGAGCAAACAGGGAGCGTAAGGTGCCAGAGAGGGTGAATACAGCGAGCACCAATACCAGACTGAAGGAGAGATGGAATACCGCCAATCTCCGGCAACAGGACGCGTTTCACAGTGTCCAGCACGTGACTGACGCGATCGAAAGCCTGTTGACATGATCATAAAGTCGAGTTCGACGGAAACAAAGTGCTCGAAGCGCAATCATTATGCATTTGATGGCAAGTACTATGTTTCATTACTGGATCTCCTTGATGCCATTGTTGGGGCTACTCTTATAATGCATCTCTCCGTTTTTCCGAGGCCTCGATCCGAATTGCTAAGCAGCTAGCTTGCTTCTAATCCTTTCGACCATCTTTCATATTGATCTGTTACAACGCGTATTTTTTCACCGCTTCTCCGTGCAACCGCGAACCAAACTCTATCAACGAGAATCGCAAAGGTGGTTCGGATGGATTAACGATCACCTCTGTAGCCTTGGACTCTCCGAGAAGATTACCGTCAAGATGCTTGTGGACTTGGGCAACGTGCAGGTGATGCGGCGTAGGCAGGGCGAAGTCTAGTCCAGAGCACGTTCGAACCTATGAGAAGTTCGGTCTGCGACCTTCTTGTATCAACCAGTACAACCTGGTGCGAATCGTCAAATGGTTGCATCGTACATGCTAATTGAAAGATGGATTACTTTGTTACTGCACTCAGGATTGATCTCCATGCGCATAGCTGGTGTCCCTGTGAGTCCATTACTATGGATCTATCGGTTCCGTAACATACGTGAGTCCAAACCAGATCTTCCCGACCACCGACCACGGGATTGTGGAATGGGGGGCCAACGA